TTGCGCGCCTGCAAGAGAATCTCACTGCCGTTTTTCCGGGACGCGAGGGCGGACGCCGCATCAGTTGATCCCGCGGCCTTTGCACGAACGTCTCCCCCCGCACCAGCTCCCCCACGCTGGTTTGCCCCACCGCCGTGAACAGCGGCACCCGCATCCGTTGCCCCTGCGCGGTTCTCCGCCTCCGCTCCTGACGTGGGCTTATTTGCCGTTGCTCTTTCTGTGGGGACAGCCGACATCACCGTCGTTGCGTCCGTTGTTCCACTTACTTCAAGGGTGGTAGGCAGGGACGCGCGATCCCCCCCGGCTCCCGCCTCCCCAGAATGACGGCCCCGCAGTTCGCCAGCACGCAATAGGCGGTTGTACAGAAGGACGTTCGTCACCGTCAGCTGGCGGCTGCCGCCCGCGTCACCCCCGCCCCCAAAGTAGAAGTGGGAGATCTCGCCCAGCGCCGCTGCCGTTGTCGAGTCCGTTTCTTCCATCGCCAGCGGCGCCCCGTCCACGTACACGTGGCCCCTCTTCCCGTCCTGCAGCATGAGCGCCACCTGGTACGGCGTGTTGGATCTCCAAGGCACTCCCTGCATTGTCTTCACGCCGTTGAACGTTACTTCCCAGCCGTCCGCAGCGCACGACAGGCCCAGGAGGATCGTCCCCTCCCCCTCGCCACTCAGCCTCGCGCCCATCACAGGAATGCCGCGGCCCCCCGTCGGAACCGCGTCGATGGACACCGTCGCCACAAGTGTGAAGTTGTAGTTGGCAAAGTGGAAGCGCTGGTTCTGCCCCTGCCTGCCCACGGGCCACTCCGCCCCTGCGCCGCCTCCGTTGAACGTCAACCCGTTGGACGCTGTCCTTGCGACGCCTCTCACCGTGGCGTTCACCCCGAGGTACTCGTCCTTCCACTGGCCGCCGGCCACGGTGCCGGACAAAAAGCCGACCAGCCCAGCTGTGGGCATCGGAACGCCGCAGTCGCCTTCCCCTGCCGCCGATTTCCCCGGTTGGGTGCATGCCATCGGGAGGTTACTGTCGGTCTCCCTCCAGGCCCGCACCACCGACTTCACCCGCTCCGCCATGTCCGTCAGGCGGGCAAGGTAGAGGCCGTCAAACACCCCCACAGCGTCCCCCACCACGGAGTACAGCTCCTGCAGGGAGATCAGGTCCTTCCCGCCCGTGTGCAACAGGGCACTGCCGGCGGCGTGCTTGCTTGCGTCGGACACCGGCCCAACATCGACAACGTGGGCGGTTTGTTTTCAGTGTGCGTTTATCCCGCACGTGCTCTACCATCAGTGCCCCCCGCCTCCGTTCTTGCTCTAGGGTAGGCGCGCGCAGGGACGCCA